AGAATTAAAATTTTATTTTGAAAAAATAATCTATTAATATTTATCTGATGTACCAATCTTTTTGCACCAGACCATATATATGATTAATAAAAATTCAATTTCAGAATAAACAGAATTTTTCAAAATCAAAAAGAATTTTTTTCAAAATCACGACGGAATTTTTCCGTGTCCCTGGCTACCGGTCAGGGAACAATCATATAATTTCAGCGAACTTAGTTATTCAAATTAAATTAATGAACAATAACGATAATTTTTTGTTATAAAGGTGTCTATGTGCGTTATGCGACCAATTAAGGAATTTGTACTTTGATATCTCCGTATTTTGTGTCACATTATGCTGAAAAATTCTAAATACATAAAATAGGCGCGGAATTAAAACAAGGACTTTATGTATACATTATGTTGTAAGTAACAAAGTCATAACTGAATACATTATGACAGTTTCTAAAATTGACTTGAGGTGCTTGCGGACCGCAAACGATTTTAAATTTCCGCAACTAAAATCTTATATGCGTATGCATGTAAATTTTAAAAATAAATTTTGATTCACATGTGCAACTAAATTTTGTAGCTCGCAAGCAAATTTATTTATCAGGTTTCGGATCACTTCATTATGATATCATGTATAGATGAGTACATGTATAGTACACCGATTAACCATTTTTCAATATACATGTTTCTCTCTTTTTCGATAATAAACTTCACTTTGTTTACCTTTTCCAACTTCGTCAAAACTATGATTTCGTTAGTCTAAGAAATGATGTCCACCTATATGCAGCTTAACGGAATTGAAAAAGTGAATATTTTGGCATAGATGTGCATGGAAACCACAAATGACGCTCAAATCGCAAAAATACTTGGACTTGGACTCCACAATAGCATGTAGATTTATTGACAAATATAAATAAACAGGAAAAAGTGAAAACTGACCATGTTCACCAGTTCTTAACAACCAAGAAAGGATTTACTTATACATGAAGCAAACGAAGAAAGACACGCACCACTACATGAAATAGTCAGACTTTAACTCACGTATCGCAGCAAAAAAACAATATCTCGGAAACACATGCATATGCCCGTATTTAAATTGTGTGAAGAAAGTAGCTTATAATTAGACGAAAATAATTTTCTCTGATGAAATCCGAGTTGAAATTGAAAAGCAATCACGTCATCCAAGAGTTTAGTGGCTTCCTGGAGAAAAATTTAACGTTAATTGCTTGACATCTTAAAAGAGGACGAAAATTTGTAATTTTTAGTGAAAATTCAGGGGAAAATTATCAATTTTTTGAAAAAACAAATAATTATCATTCTAGAATGTATAACTGGAAGTTACACAATTTTCAAAAAGATAATGCACTGTGGGAAAAATTAAAAAATTGATTAACAGATAATAAAATCGCTAATCATCATTGGTCGGCGAATTTTCCAGACTTGAATTCAATAGAGAACATATTAAAAGACAATATTCACAAAAATGAGATCCTTCCAAAGACTGTGGATGAACTTAAGATCACATTGAAGGTGGAATGGAAAAATTGATGTGGCCATTTGAAACAGGTTAGTGCATCGATGCCACAAAGAATTAATGCCGTATTACTGTAGATTCGACCGATTAATATTAATAAACTTTTTTATTTGATCTATAAATTGATAAACTCAATAATTTGAATACAAGTCAATCTTTCTATAATGATATTAAATACCAGGCTAATTTAGTCCTTGGAAAGAGAATGTCATGTCATTATATAGAATTCAATTTTCCTATAGTGATATATGAATCATTCTAGACAATTTGGTTGCTATAGAGAATTCCGTTATAAAAGTGAGGTTGACTTGTAATGATCACAATTCTATTTTTAATTGTCGCATTGGGCGATACTTTTTGGGCACTGTACATTAAACATACATGAAACATGTATACATGTGGATTTGACTATGTATGTACATGTACATCATGTTTCTTCTATTTAATCTGATTGGAAATTTAAAAATTAAAGAAATTTTTGTTACGTGCACTACTGCAATACTACTCAATGTTAGGTCTTCATTTATACTAATAAAGAATTCACCAAAGAATTCGCTATTAATGATACATGGGAAAGGTGTTGTGAATATAAATATGTACATTCCTTTTCTTCATTAGAGGAAGTATAATTAGAATTTATCAAGGAATAAAAATGTTACGTCATTTATTTAAAGCACCACAAAAAACAGAACCAAGATCGCTTTTGTATATTCGACGTTCATTTATAATTATATTATTGATAATGTTAATATCTTCCTTTGCATTGTTGTGTTTTAAGATGGCTCAAGAAATCCCCACTATTAGTTCCACTTTTGTACCAATTAATAATGTAGAGGCACCAGGTAAAACAATTTTTTGAGTTAAAATATCACCAGAATCATTATAATATTTCTAATATCAAACTACGAATCAATGTAGCCGTTCATTTAGCGCTTGGGTATCAGTTTAACTTTTCTTGTTTGTTATATAACGATTACAAAGGAAGTAAGAAAAATGTTAATTTACTTTCTTGATTAATTGTTATATATACATATTAATATCTGACTTAAAATTCTCAAAAGCAACAAATGAAAGTTGCAATCAATATATTACACAACCAATAGAGACTAATGACATCGATTATCCTTTTGTTGGAAACTTTTCACCAAAAGGTGCTATAAAGTTAGCTGGATATAATACCACAGAAATCGAAGCAGAAGCAACATCAGGACCGATTTTCGTTTATCTATATATAAATATCACAGATCCTACATATGATGATAACAATATCGCTCATGAACCATTCTTTAGAATGACTTTATATGATGCAGGCAAGTTTTTTATAATTGACGAAGATCTTTGATAATTTGATAATGATATTAATATAGTAATAAACAATAGACAGTGAAAACAGCACGCAGAGTTCTCCATTTGAAGAATCGCTTTTTTATTTAAATAAATATACTTTATCAGGCGGTTTTGTATGTATCGATACGATTCATCATTTGAATTGCAAATTGACCATATTTTGTTATTATATATAGTTTTATAAGTTAGGATTTTCTAGAAAAAAGAGAAATACGATTACTAAAAGAACTTTATCTTATATTGGTCTTCCACCAACATACCTTTCAGAATATTATATTGAATCAAATATGCGTAAGTATATTAATTTTAAAAATTTTATATCATCATGTGTGCATTTTAACCTTTTCTTGTTGGTTATTATCTACAGAGAGTGTGCCGATGGAATCTTTAAACAAAACTAATATAATTCTACGTCTTAGTCCACGAAGTTTTCTTTTAGAAGAGGAACAAGAGCAAAGGTAACTTAAAATAAACATTTCTATTACGAATTGATTCTCTATTTTATTAACACATTAAAATGCGCAATTTTATAAATGCATGTAAAAAAATACAGGCATCTTACGGTAATCATATATGAATTTCATAAACTGAAAAATCTGTCAATGCACAAATAATGAATGATCTCTCGTATGAATAGATTATTAGCACATTAGGAACTATTGCTGCATATTATAGTTCAATCGCGTTTATTTACGTATTTTTATTTGGTAAATTATCTTTTTAATTAAATCATTGTGTACTGCATTTATATTTCGCTCAATTAATGATTTCAAAATTTTTTAGGAGTTGATTCAATAACACCATGGGGTGTTATACATGGTGGATGTTGCGGATGCAGGAAAGTCAAACATAAAACGCGAGAAGTAATCTACGAGACTGTGCATTCACCTGACATGGAAGCTAATCTTCCTGATACAGAAATTAATTTAAAAACTCTCATCCAAAAAGTTAATGATTTAGAAAAATTTAAACGTTACATTGGAAATAACTTTATTGATACTAAATTATATGAAAAGTCCGCTAGAATGGAGAGCAGCAGCAGCAACAACAACAACTAACAACAACAATAACAATAACAAGGAGAAGAATAACAAGAACAATGACAACAGCAGCAATAACAAGGGTATAAATTGAAATCAAAACAGTCATAACAATAAATCAAGATTATTTATTAATTGCTAATTCATAACTATATTAACAATAAACTAAACTAACAATATATAATTTGCCATTACTATGAGAAATCTCACGATTACGAAAATTCTGGATAATGAAAAGAGATCTTAAACTTGTATAGTAATCACGTAAAATATTCAAATTATTTTAAAGAAATTGATAGTTTTCTTCTGATTCTTTTGATACTTGACTATTGAATTATTCTTGATTTATCTTGTTAAAATTTTAAAAATTAATTATAAAGTAAATGCATATATAAAATGTATATATTATAATATATATATATTATATAATATATATTTTATGTAATAATAATCTTATTTATTATTATCAAGTTATAAGATTATCATTTTTCTTATTATTTTCTTTTTTTCTTTTTCTTTTCTTTTTTTATTCTTTTTATTTACTTCTTTCTTTTTTTATTTTATTTTTTTAGTTATATTATAATATATTTAAATTTAATAAGAAGAAAAAAATAATAGTAAAGAAGTTGTTATTAATTTTTAAATTAGAAAAGTATTTATTATTAATATAAATTTTGAAGTAATTTATAAATTTCTCTTTTCTATTCAAAAACTTATTATAAAAAATTATATATTATTTAAAGAAAAAAAGAAGTATCAAGTCTAAATATGATTATAAAATTTTTAATTATTATTTTATTATTATATTTATTATTAGTAATTCTAATAATATTATTATACTAATATAGAGAAGTTTTTAAAAAGTATAATTTAAATTATCTTAATCTCAAGTATAATAAAGATATTTATAAAAAAATTGATTAATAATAAATAAATTATTTAAAATTATAAGAAATTATTATTATTATTTAAAAATCAAAATAATATAAAAAATAATAAGAAATTAAAAAAGAATTTAATATTTATTTTTATTAATATTATTTGTATTTTTTTAAAATATTTTAATAATATTAATTTTTGAATTTATATATATATATATTAAATTAATAATTATAAATATATTTTAATTTTTTTCTTTTTATTTATTTTTTATATATTATTATAAAATTTTTTATATAATATATAAAATAATTATTAAGTAAATTAATAATAATCAAAAGTAAAATATCTAATATAGAGAAAATTGAAATTTCTCTTTATATTAAAATCTATAATATTATTAAGAAATAATTTCATTTTTATGTTAAAATAAAATTTATTATTATAGTTAATATTTATTTTTTTGGATTTTTTTGAAAGAGTAATTCTAATTATAAAGTTTGTATAAAAATTTTTATTAATTAAATTTCATTTTTAATTAGTAAAAATTTTTGTATTGACTTTATAATTAAAATTACTCTTTCAAAAAAAATTCAAAAAAATAAATATTAACTATAATAATAAATTTTATTTTAATATAAAACTAAAATTTATTTCTTAATAAAATTATAATAAATAAGTATTATCAAATTATAATTAGTTATAATTTATAAATTTTGAATTATAATATTATAATAAATAAAATATTGATAAATTATAATAATTATAGTTATTTTTATAATTATAGAATTAGAAGATTAATTTTATTAATAAAATATAGTAAAAATTAAAATTATCTTTTTATATTAAAATAAACTTTATAAATTATAGTTTAATATATATTTTTTTTAGATTTTTTAGATTTTTTCTGAAAAAGTTACTCAATTGTAAAGTTAATGCAAAAATTTTTACTAATTAAAAATGAAATTTAATTAATAAAAATTTTTGTATTAACTTTATAATTAGAGCAACTCTTTCAGAAAAAATCTAAAAAATCTGAAAAA